GGTTCCTGATCTTCGTTTTACGAAGTTACGAATGTGTTTATTAACGCTTACACAGATCGACTGTCACGTTGGTCGTGTTAAATATAACTGAAATATCTGGAACGACGTGAAAAGTATTGCGCAGGTATTGATAGGTAAGTGGAGAGAAATTCCACGATATACGTCTTCGCGGGAACGAGTGTTTCCACGTGTAACATTTTTCGAATCCTTTCAGCCATCCATTGCTCTAACGACAGCTTATCGCTAACGATAAGTGTTCCGTAGGAAGTATACAGAGATTCAAAAGCCCCGGAAAGGGCAGGTAAATAAAACGGAACGGCCGAAAATAGCAATTGCCCGGGAACGCGAGGCTGATCGTCGGTATCGAGAGCGTGGCAATAGCAATAGGAAGAGGAGGCGGAATGCGTTGAAAGGATTTTCGCGCCGGACCCTCACGAACGAAGTAGCTTGTCTTCCATTATTGAACCCTGAGACGTAACCGGTTACGTTCCATGCAAAACGCTTTTCAAGTTAGGCCGGCGGAATCGTTAAAATTTGAAATGTAAATGAGAGAGCGCGAGGGAGCCGGCGCTGGGACTCGATAACGTCGGAATCCCCGGCAAAAATCACTTTCGCGTTACTGCAGTTTCGCGCTTCTATACAGCAGATGTTACGATTTTATTCTCCTACGAGTTGTTTTGCGCGCACCGATCCTCCCGGCTTGTTTCTCCTATTGGCCGCTACCGCCATGTAAACGAGCAGATTCCGAGCTGTAACAAGCGGTAACTAAACGCGTAGTAAGATCCTGCAGCCACGGACGTCGAGCCCGGCCATTGGTTTAACGAGAACGTAAAAGTTAAAACAGCAGGTGCCCCTTAAAAGCGCTTCCCAAGCGCGGTTTCGAATGGCACGCACCCTCGTACTTTATATCTTCGCAGCCCTGCACCTCCTTCCGCCACTTTTTACTTTGCCACCCTCTTCCGTTTTCAACGAGCTTAGGGCTTACGCCATGTATCTTGCGTTTCGGCTCCCGATAAACACCGAAATCTTCTACAACGTCGCACTCTCACAGCACGGTTTATAGGTGCAGGATCGCGTTGGGTGGATTGGCTAAAATACCGTTGTTTGCTTCTTAATAGAATAAAATAAGCTTATACATAGAGTATCGGCTATGAAACAAGAGAGATTCGCTATGAGCACGCTCTTCTGATCTTTCTTAGACTGACTTTGACTTCTTACATACTTTCTGAATGACACACTGACACACTCTTAAAGACTGCAAAAAGGCTGGCTTAAAAGATTCTTAAAGACTGACTCGCCTGCGTTCTTGCACCTTTATTTAAACCATTCATTCTGTCCTTTTCCATACCCAGGCTTTCCTTCCCAATCATGCCCCTTTCCCACCCAACCTCGGTGGGCCAGGTACTTCAACCACTCTGGACGCAACCCTAAACTTTCGCTCGACTCTACCATAAATATTCTTTGCAGTCGATCCTCTTGCACACGGTCACTTTCGTTCTAAGCCCAGACACTCTTGACATTCTTTCAGGGCCGTACTCTTTCCAATCCTACATATATATATATACATATTGTAGGAATTGTTTAGGTGGCAGCAAAACGACGGTGATAGATAATAAAAATATGATTTATCGTGAACTAATTTATGGCTTATTCTAAACGCTATGACCTTTCACACTGACTATCTCTCAACGAACTCTTCCCAATGAACTCCATCCTCGGAACTCCTCTCAAAGAACACCTCAAAGAACTGTTCGCTTCATGCCCATGCACCCTTATTTAAACCTTGCACTCAATCTTCTTTCATACCCAGGCTTTCTTTTCTAATCACGCTTTTCTCACGCACTCCTCACAGCCTTGCCCTCAATGGGTCACGTAGCCCAAACACTCGGATGCATTCCTAGATTTCCACTCTTTGCTTGCAACCGATACTTCCATAAACATTCCGCCCAAATGTTCCCATGCGCTTTAGGTGTACAGGAATTGCGATAGTTTTTGTACAACACGGTAATAAGATTTAATAAAATTCTACGAATTTGTTATACCACGAATGTGTCTGAGGAACCATTTCCCTTCGTCCGTGGAAGGTGTAGATTTTCGTTAAAATGGCTTCGATATTTATATGGAACGAATTAGGGGTGTTATAGGAGGATTGCACATACATAGTTCTCAAGTACGTGGACGTTTGAATAAATTTTGGAAAATGTAATTGCACTATAGAAGAGGTCTAAGTGAAAAACTCAAAACATATGATATTACAATCGAATAACACCAAGTTAAAATAGCCAAAAGTTGAGTAGTTTGATCGAATCTGTAGTGGTAGTAGTACATATGTTAATAGATCAGTAAATTATTCTAGAAATGACAGCAAGCAGTTGCAAGAAAAAAGGATATTAGAGAGTACTGAAAAATGTAAATAAGAAACGTTGAAAATGTAATAGTATGAGAATGACAATTAAATATAACGAACACCTATTATTTAGGATTTAGGTGGTTCAAATTATAATAAATTGGATTATTATAGGAGAAATAACATAATTCACGATTATAAACTATTCGTGGTATCATTGGAGATTTTGTCAGTGAAGATAAATTTAATATATTCGATTCGTGGAACAGATAAACGCTGTACCTGCCAGTTAGAAATTGATGAGGCGCTAGTACCTACAAAACGAATGTAATTGTCCTTAATCGGCTTAAGTTTAAACACTCGAAATGTCGGGTGATTAATTGAAACTCGATTGCTCTTGGAATAGACCAATTTGGTCCGAAATGGCTGGTAAGAATCTATTTTAAAGCCACTTATTCCCTCATTGACAGCTCGTTCATTATCGATAAAGCAACTCAAAACTCGATTATCGAGTATTTCTCATTTACTACACGATCTATAGCCATGCTCCATGGAACCATAACAATCCATACAATCGCTACTTCATCACGACAATTCGTTCAGACAAGACCCACTACTCTCTCTCTCTTTCTCGTCAAGAGAAATACCAAGAAAAGAAGGATAACCTCGAGGTTTCAGACGCAAAACTGCAAAGAACATTTACAAAATCCGTAGATCGTGTGGGTAAACGTGTCAGTACAAGGAACCGGATACTAAGTGGCCATAGCAATCGCATTAGTTCAATCGTACAAGAAATCGAAGGAACAAGCGCCAGTGAGTGCAGCTGACTTTCCATCCGACTGAAACTGCGGTACATGAAATTTCATCGAACGATCCCGTGGAATGTTCGCCACGGTGTGTTTTGTTTCCAACTTTCCTCGTCGATAAAAGACGCGTTAGTCGCCGGCATAAGAGGAAAGGAAAAGTTTTCGGTGTCATCCTTGGCCTTCCGTCGGTAAATTTTCGAAAGAACAGCCAGCGAAGGTCGAGCAGCCAGAGGGTCGAAGAAACGTAGAGGCAATGGCAGAAACTAAGGCTTGGCGATGCGCCATAGCGATTTATTTATTTTTCTCTGCGCAAACTTCACCCCTTGAGGGTGGACCAGCGGCTAGACAAACAGGGGAACAAAAACGTTTTATTACGCGATTAAGCTCGATGATGACGATATTTTAGGAGGCGATAAAAGAACTCGCCAGACTACCGCGAGGATTCGGCAAGACGGGCAGGTCTGATGTCCCGAAGGGGGATTATACGTAGTTCGGAATAATTACGTGGAAAATTCAAGGGATTCGTTTAAAATTTCACCGGCTGTAGGGGCATGTCGTTCGTTCGCGAAGTTGCTATCTGCGATAGATATCCGCCTCTGGTCGTATATTTTCGGACACTTTTAATGAGAAGCAAAATTACTCGCGTATGTAATCTGACTGCGAAGAATACAAAGAAACGAGACACTAATTTATTTTGTAATCAACCAACTTGGTGGACTGAACAAATTTTTACTTCCTGACAAATCTATGGAAGCTCATCCAAGAACTGTCTTTATTATTTAATTTTGATTATGTTTCCACTGCTAGGGATCACCAAATTGGTTCGATGGAAGGAATATTTGTGGAAAATCGAATGACGATTGTTCTTTTAAAATATGCTCGTGTGTTGCTATTAATTACTAATTATTAATAATTACGATGAAGAAAATTATCGACCAAATGAAGTACCGCCATGTTTAATTAAACTCCTTTATTCTCGGTTTCTCAATTCTTCTACAGCAATCGGCTGTTTTCTTTACGACATTAAACACCTGTTAATTTCACACAACATTCGATCCCGACGGAAATCAGGGACAGAAAACACAAAGGAAAGAAAGTAGCTGTAAAGAGAACCGGTGTTCATGAAACATTTATGCGATCATAAAGACAGTTCATAAAGTTTAAACGTGTGGGTGTAGTTGTTAAGCTGTCGCGTGTATACTCTGAGCGATAACGCGCGACTAAAATGTTCGTGAGTCGTGCTATAGTTACTTTTACAGCTTGGAAAAACTATTATCTTCTTTGTGTTGGAGGCTTATTTAATAACGAGCTCACGTGAAAGATCTAAACGAATTAACTGAAACATTGCTTTCCCCTTTGATCCTATAATACTCGCGAATATTAATCCGAAAAAGATTATTTCGCAAACGTAAAACCAAACATTCCTTTCGTCTTTGAGTAATTAAAGAAACGTATAACAGTTCTGTGACCCAGTTGGATTAAAGCGAAAATAAAATTGTTCCAAAGTAAATTTATCCCTACGAATGCAGATATTAGTATTACGAACTAAAATATATTAATTTATCTCGTTTGAATTTTATTGACAAATTTTTTCCCTCATTGTAAAAACGAGAAGTTTCACTGAAATATGTCTATCCAATCAACGAGTTTTTATTAAACAAAATTGGAAATGCTTTGTACCACGAATGCTTCGAAAACAGCACATACTTTTCCAGGAAACCTTTCATTCAATTATAAACAGAATAAAATACAATGAAATCGAAATATATGTAATTGAAAATAATTCGGCAGCGACAGAGTAAAAAACAATTGAACCGAATCCAAAATAAGGTATAAATAAATTGCGTTCACTTTCGACAAGAACAAATACACGCAAGCAAGTACGTTACACCTCCGTTTTTGTCACAAGTACATTACAATTTAATCATTTCCGTACTTATACAGCTTCCTTTGTTTGTCACATGAACAATCAACGACGACGAGAAGAAGGGGTGATCGTAAAGCTCGATTTCAAGCACGAATACAAGTTGAAAAATCGAAACAGCCAATGGGGATAGGTCGAAGAGGATCATCGATTCGTTTCTCGATATCAAATCCGGCGGGAGAGAAATTTCATGGCGAAACCATGAAATTTCGATCGGCGAAACAATAACGAATCGCCGGCTCGAAGGATCGCCGACCAATAAATAATGCTTTTGTAATAAATAATCGTATTACGTAGCCACGTGGGGGCGGCGGACACACTCCACGCAACCAGATCACCGGCCGTGTACGTACGGCTACGATGGTATCGTGATAATCGACGTTCGATAATATCCTCCAATAAATTTGGCCCGATAACGGCCAGGATTTATATTATTGGAGCACTGTGGACTATAAACGCCGGTTACGACGTGCTACGGGGCCAATTCATTCTCCTCTGACGGCAGTCATCTACGGCAGCACGATAACGAATTTTCTTCCCTTTTTCTTAAAACGTATGCACGGATATGGAAAAGGCTTGGCCGTGCTTGTGCCACGATGATACGATGGAAGTAGGACCTGCAGAAAAGTTGCCGTGGGAATAATTGTTGTTTGGAAATGTAAATGAGAATATAATAATGTGCTGATTTGCGATTCTATGGAATTATTGTTGCACCGTTACGGCATCACAGGTATATCTATAGAAATATTCAATATTACCATTTGTAAATATCTATTACGATTATGTAATTCTGCGAGACAAATTTATTGCATTGTACATGATAGTTTGTCGAAATAGCGATAATAAATGAAAGGTAATTACATTGTATTAACACAGGATTCATGTGTTTTATCAGAATTAGAGAAAAAAGAATGGAAATATATTAGAAGCGTAAAATAATACCTATATCGTGTGACGGGGAGTATTGCGTCATACGGATGTTACACAGACGCACGCACACATCGATGCTACGTTCCATTCTACGACTGTGTCTGTACACTTTATTGGTATATCGTTACACTGATTCCTTTCGCTTGGATCACTTATTAGACCAACTCCATTTACTCACAGCATGCATAAAAGTGAAATACTTCCTTGCACTTGTACCTACATATCACAAAAATCGAGTAAGAGAACAATTGATTGAATAAAATCGACAGCTAAATATTCGGAAATTTCTAGTCGACTCGTATCGATAATCTAAAAATATGGAAATAATAGCCAAAATGACGTACGACAAAGTTATATTTAGTATAAATGCCACAATATTAACGTACGAACGAATTCCTGATCACTATGCTAGCCACAGAAATGAAAAAGTATATCTGGCGTATACGTGTCGCATCGAATTGACACACCCAACGACATATTGCAAATCAAGAGAATTATAAAACGTGCAACTCACCGTTCGGAGTATCGTCTTATCGTAATGATGCAGCTCGGAATTCACAATGTACTCGATAGTCGTCTTGTTTCATCGTCAATCACCAATATCTCACTTTTCACACACATCAATTAAAATATTCTTACTTTTCTGGAAATTTCTTTACGACGTACTCGCTAAAACGCGCGGGAAGATGACGCAATCAGATCCTTGTGCGCATGCGCAGTAGGTTGGGAAGATGACGCAATATCCTCGTGCGCTTGCGTAGTAGGGTGGGAAGACGCGTATGTGTAGTAGGGTGGGGGTACGCGCATGCGGAATAGGGTTAGAATATACGCATGCGCAGTTGGTAAAATTATCGATACGCAGCATGGCGCGCATGGCGCGAAATATAACTGCGCGAAGAATACTTTCCCATCCATTTATTAACGATTGTTATTAGTTATTATTAACGTAACTACTCATAAGTAAATAAAATGTATTAACACTACCTAGGATTGGAAGAAATAAATAAATAATTTACCAAATATCATAGTTTCGGTAAATTTAACTATAATTTACGAAAAATATACAAATCATGAAATATTTATTAACAAATAAATAACGTTCATTATATAGTTATTGAACGATAATGTAAGATCAGAATCAAATACTAAACGATTAAATATTATTATAAACTATGAAGATGAAATAAATTCTCTGATTTATAAATTCGCTTCCTCTGTACTACTAACCTTGTAAGTTTTTTCTATGAATTATATATTTATAGAAGGAAGAAATAAGAAAAATATATCCACATAAACGGATCATGGAAACTTGCAGTATAAGAATGCTAATATGAATATAATTAGCAAAATATATAGAAATACTTGTTGTTAATAACAAACTGTTCGACCCAAAAATTTATAACAAAATGAAAAAATTAAGAAAGATAACAAACTATTGCATATTGCAGTACAAAAGTAATTATCAGTTGAAATCGGAAACTCTAGGTTTTATTATTAGGAATCTGGTAAATATATGCTGCATATTACATGTTTGAAGAATAACTTGTTTTGCAAATTACTTGTCTCGCTAAAATTTGCCCCTCGAATTCGTTAAGACGAATTATGGATCCACGTGTACCAAGATGCATTAGACAGAAGAACCTACCAAGACACTACCTAGCAGATCGCATTAATATTAAAATCGTTAAAGTAAATAGCCCAGTCGCTTCAAACCATCCGTATCATACGTTTCAATCAAGCGAAATCCTAGAGCCGCAAATCACATCTCCCTCAGCGATCCCCATCGGAATGGACTTCACGCACAGGGCGGAAAGAAAGTCATCCAGTTCTAACGAGGGAGGAAACGAAGACGAAGGTGAAAACGAAGGAATTGGGCCATCTTCCCATGTCCCGCGGTGTAATTGGAAACCGTCCCGAAAGATCGTCCTATGTATCAACAGCCCGCTGGATAACGGGGCGTTCTCTTCCGCTTATCGGATAATTACGGGGATGAGTCGCTCTCGTTGCCGCGGATTGGAAGGAGAGCCCTGGCTTCTTGTTCCAGGAACACGAGCCGTTCCAGAAGGAAAAGTAAGGCGTGGAAGAAGAAAGGGCAGAGAAGGGAGGATAGTCAGGGGCGGAAAAGAGAAGTCGTTACAAAAAGTCAAGTCGAATCAAGTCGAGGGGCTGCACACTCGTGAAAGGGGATGTAGGCGTTAGATTAGCGTGATCTCCAGTGATAACGTTCTTCTTCTCCTCTCCTTTCCTCTTTCTCCACCGACCGATAGCTCTGCCCCTGTGGTAGTTCTTCCACGCTTTCTCTCGCAGCCGTCACGACTCACTCGTAGAGTCTGCCTAGCCTCGCAGGCGGCCAGCATCTTAGCACGTTTCTAGCGTGCAATTACTGACCCCTTAACGAGGAGGGTTGCGGATGCAACTTTTGAAAATCTCCTATTAGAAATAACGGCCCCTCGGGCGTACGTGTCCCGAGCCGCTCGGCAAATTGGAATCTGCGCGATGAGAAGGGTGCAGTTACGCCCTGCCACCCTCTGCCTTCATCGCCACCCTGTCGAGTGAGGCGCCTCGAAGAGAATCGATTTGTGTACCGGCAGTTTCGTTAAGACGCGATTAAGCCAGCCGCTGTGTTTTCGCAACGAATTGTTTCCCCCGTCGATCCCCGTGGGATCTTTTTTCAATGCTAATTTGCCAACAACCCAGAGCAAACTCGACGTACAGACACTCGCGCAAAAATCACCACTGGCTCGTTCGGAGATTAAGCGATCCCTTTCGCGTTTATTCTTCATCTGTTTCACAATGAAATCGAGTTTCTACGCGAGTCGAGATTTTCATCGTCGATTATACTCTCTCATGCGAACGAAGTTTCGAGCGGGTGCCATAAGCAGAATCGTATTTCGATAGATTCGTGAAGCGTTCCGTTATTTTGGTTAATAAAGAAATAAATAAGAAAGGAAAACGTGGATAACAAATGTGTGGATGAATAAAAAATTGCGAATTCATGGAAATACAAGAGAATAATTACGACAGTCTAAATCCCATAAGCTAATTGATATTCCAATCCTCGTACAGTAGCAGCTATTAAAGGACGGATGTTAAACGAATTGAATTTCTCGTCGACGACCATTTCTCCCGAACCATTTGCCACATAAACCAAATAAATAGAGAACTAGTTGAATATCTTTCAGCTTCGAGAGCGACGAAATTCGTTTGCTTCAAGTACGCTTTCTGACGATTCAAAGTAACAAACAAAACATCGGTAACGTCATTAAACCGGCTATTGTGAAAAGTTAGTGCGAGCCGAAATTACTTTAGGATTGTTACGCATCTCTCTATGCCAGCGCAGGGGGACTGGTGGCTGTCAATAAAGTTCATTTGTATTTGTCTAATTAACCGCAGCTGCATTGTCTATGACAATGCCGACTGTAATTACGACCGCGTAACTTTGCAACTGGGTCCACCTATGCGATAGATCGATTCAGGAAATCGTGTCCCGTCGTGGCGAATCGCGCTAACCGATTTCGTTTGATCGTAAAATTAACGTCGGTCGCCGTTAGTCTCGTTCATTTCGTCCAGTACATAGAATTTTCATCGGATTTTCATTGAAAACCACGATGAAACGTTCAAAACTTATCGATGCTTTTAATACTCGCAGCGGTGTTTATCGGCTCGAGTTTCAAAGACAATTCCGCGAGCTTCTTCGGTTTTCCTCGCGTAATCGCATCACGAGAAACGAACAAATTCTTTTAGAAACAGACGTCAACGTTGTTCATTGCGAATTTCTGTGTCTCTTTGTCGCGAGCAAATTAACTCGTCGTTGAAATGAAAAATAACGAGCTTAACACGTTAAGTGACCGGCGGGACCCCAGGGACCGGCGCTAGACTCTCCGTTCGGGACCAACCCAGACTAGGATCAAAAGATGCTAACTTTTAGTACTAAATTCTTCACCATCTTTGGACCTAACGTTTGGGAATTGCTATTATAACAATTGGTACAGTATCTTCGAGTTTTATGAACACTTCGCCCGTCTGGGCCTGGACAGAACGGTAAGCAGAACGGGCTGAGCACTTAACGTGCTAAATACATGTATAACGAATGGCGGATTTGCTCGATCAGAGGAAAGATACCTGTAACTAGAGGATAAATCTCGTTACGCGGAAATAATTAACGTGAGAACGTCACGGAACGAGTCTTTGATGTTCTATGCTTGAGCGGCTGATGATTGGCTACAAAAAACGAATATCGAGCAACAAAATATATTCAATGGGATTAAACGCTTCTTTGTAACAGAAATGCGAAAGTTGCCAGCGTAGAATCAAGCAACGAGAGCTTTGCCTAAGATACGCGATCGCGAAAAATTTATGACGCACAGCTACAACGCGTAAATTACCCCAGGACGTGCAATCGAATCTCGGTGGTACAAGGAAAGCTTAGAATAAGGTACTTGAAATTTCCTCGAGTAGATCGTGGGCCAGAAGATCGACGGAAACCGCATTAGATCCTCTTATCCAATGGGTCGTTTCAGCTCGCTCCACTCCCGCGTTAAAAAGAAAATCGCTTTATCACGGGGTTTCGGAGATAGTGGCCAGTAATTTTTCGAAGGTGGGTCTTTGACGATTGTCGCGGAGCACGTGAAAACGCGTTGAATGGAGGGAACCGATCGTTGGGGGGTAAATGAAGAACATAGGAAATCCCGGAAGGGAAGAAGAGTAAGCGGGATAGAGGAAAAGATCTTGGTAATGGTCGTCGACCGACGGTCAATTTAGACTTCAAAGGGTTCCTCGGTATAAAGGATATATAAAAAGGAGTCTGGTGGCGTACATCCAGAAGAGAATTCCATCTCGACGAGTTATCGGTGCCTATGATCTACGAACAAACTCGCTCCATTATTTCTCAATAAATTCTCAATACTTAAAAGACAGTTCTCTCGTGCCGTTCACGCTGCCCGCTTCCCAGAGGTCCCTTTCCGCTTTTCCCCGTTCTCTATCCTTTCGGTTCACGTGCAAGTCCAGCACGAAGTTTGAAGTGGTTTTAAAGTGTCATCGCACACTCCCGAGTAGACGGTGCCATCGACTCGACTCGTTTCCTTCGCCGTATCGATAAACTATAACGAGACAAATGGATGTGGGAGCGGCACAAGCCTCTCCGTACACTTTCTCCAGCCAGCCAGGAGAAGACAGACCATCCCTAGTGCTCCTTCCTCCTTGCACTTTCTCCCCTATACTCGTTCGGCTAAATCCTTTTTTTCCCCACCGACACGATCGCTTTTGTCTCTTCCTCCTTCGCGCGTACGTTCCTTCGTTTCTTCCATGGCTAAGAGAGGGAATGAAAGTTGCAGCTGTATGTGGCCCAAGCCATCCCATTTTCTCTTCATTCCTTATCCCCCTTCGTTTCATCCCTCACGAACACGTACTTACTCTCGCCCAAGTTACCTTGACTCCGCGCGATAGATATAAATGAACTCCTTACTTTCGATCATAGTACTCTCAGAAGAAGATAACGTTCCTTTCGTTGCTACCTGCGCTACTGGATCAGCAAGTCGCTCCGTTTGTGCCACTCCATCTGTTGTCGACCTGCTTCATGGCAATAATATAATTGCTTTCAATACGGATTTCTCGTTAACCTCGATGGGGA